AATTCACTCTACAGTATATTCTGTGAAGCGCTTTGAGACGTCTTGAAAACATGATAAGGCGCCATATCAAATGCAAGGATTATTATTATTATTTTTCTGCAGCCATTTAGGATCCCATCACACTCTTAAGAATTGACAAGAGAATCTCTCCTGGTATCTTGACCAACAATCCTTTGGGTAAATTCTCAATTACCTTGTGGTCCTTGCTGTGTTGAAACAGCTGTTGCATGCAACAAGATTATAATAATAATCCTTGCATTTAATATAGTGCTTTTCACATCTTCTAGATCAATACTTTTTGACACTAATTACTGCTTTGATATATTCAACATAAGTTTCCAATTAAAATTGAAATTTCTTTATGAACTTCTTTAAGATCTCTGAAAAATAAAGCCAAAATGGAATGTGCTTAAGGTGGAGGATGATAAGCAGCTTATCCAAGCTGTCTTTATCTGAATTGCCCAATTTAATGAATTTTCTGGATTTCCCAATCCTACATGTTTAACTGTTTAATTATATAATATTGTATACCAGTTATCATGCTGTCACTATCTACTCCAGGGACCTCCTGATGGCAGCACAGCCCAGCCTGGCTCTTCGGCAGGACCTGGAAGGGCAGAGCAGTCACTGGGGGCAGGGAGTCATCCCACTCAGCTCTTGTTATCCCCGCAGCCAATGCCCTAATGGTTTGGGTGAAAGCTTGCCTGACAGCGATATCAATGGCAAGCAAGCTGGTTTTAGCAGATTAGACTTCAGCAGTTACCCTGGAGTCTCCTAGCCTTGGCTCTTGCCAACCTGCGCCTAATATTTTCCGGAATTAGGTAAGCAGGATGCCTCCCGTCAGGGAGAGAGAGAGAGAAAGAGAGTGTGCACATTCCATTCCAGCAATCTATCTCGAAGATTTCCTTGTGTAGGTGGGATGTTTGCAATCCTCAGCTTGGTTTGGATACTCTTAAGCAACGGTGATGGGTTTCCGCATGTGTCAGACACCCGGCTGACCAAAAAAAATCAATATCATTGGTATTAATAAATGATTGTTTGATTTCCCTTATCCTGAGAGGAATGTTTCTCACACTAGCGAGACACAGAAGAAATGCATATAAAAGAACAAGATGGCAGAAAGTGAGTAAAGGACTGTAAATGAAAGGGTTTCTTTACAATTGCACAATAGTTCTAGTTATGACATTTGAGACCTGTAAAGCCCCTAATGTGCTGCATCTGACTTGGTGACAGGAAGTTGTGGGAAGAAGCGAAGTGGTACATCAGCAGAATTCAGTTTCTGTCTGCAAATGTATCACTATCTATTCTTGTACAGAAGTGATTACTGTTTCGTAAAAATGAGTAATCAATTTCAACAGGATGTTGCAAAATGTCAGCTACAAGGCTGAAATTTCACACTTTGACTGCTCCTCAATGTAGGCGTTGAGTGAGTTCCTAAATTCTGTAATATGAGAGAAGCAGTGGCCTAATTTCAGGTGCATCCACGTTAACAAAGGCCTTTCATGACAATATAGATTGTATCTTATTTGCTGCACGAATTCTTGAGAAAAGATTATTCATTTGCATTTATTTGCCATTCTGGTGGAGTTTGGTTCGTGAGAGGTAGTTGATCAACTGAGCCTTTTATCCTTTCAAGGTGGACGGAGAAGATAGATAACAGGATTCCCTTGGGTTCAATTGGTTCCAAGGTGATTTGCCTGATCAATGGGATTAGTAATAATAATTATTAGTATTGGTAACAATGCTCCTTGCATCTGAACAGGAATGCAAGTTTCCTTACTCCACATGCCCCTGTTCACCTCGCAGTAAGTAGGAACCCAGTTGTTAGTTGATTTTCAGGTCTCTTAATAATTATTGGATTATTATTTTTATTGATACCTAGCCCTTAAAAGTGTATTTAAACTGAGGGTCAGGGGAGAGTGTGAATGGGAACCTCAGAACAGCTGACTTTATTGTGTAATTGAGTGACCTAAATTTGTTTTATATATCAAAGGGTCTATTCATAATAATATTAATAATTCTTGTATTGATATAGCACCTTATCAAGTCTTCAAGACATCTCAAAGCACTTCAGAGGATATACTGTAAAGTGAATTGACTGATATTATGTGGGCGAAACATTGGATTGCTTTTCCGGGGGTAATAATTCCTTAAAATATTTTTGAAATAATATTTGTCACTTCAATCCACAACTGTTTGTGGGACATTGTTGTGCGCAATTGGCTGCAGCGTTTCACCCACAAAATATACAGTCAATTCACCTTATAGTGTATTCTGGGAAGCGTTTTGAGCCGTCTCAAAGATGTGATAAGGCGCTGTATCAAATGCCAGGATTATTATTATAAGAACAAGAGGCAAAATGGCTTTACACTCTTCAGCTATCCTTTTATTGGGTAGAAAGGAGCAACTTTAAAATGAAAGCATTTATTCACTTTCTGTATGAAATGGAAATTGGAAGTAATCCCAACAAGAAGGAAGACTCGTATTTTTCCCTGAACGTGATCTGCTCACAAACTTTTCCCAATTTCCTCCCAAGGAAGTTTCTACTCCTCATCTTAGCACAGACTGGTGGGATTCTTTCAACAAAAGCAGCCTTTTTGGGGGGAGGGGAGATGAGGATGTTTCAGAACTGAAAGTAAATGTGTACTCTTTTGGTATGCAGGATTCATTTGATGATTGTATTTGTTCCACAGTGCTTGGAACATTGGAGCCGCCAATAAATGCAAAGATTCACGCTCTAAACTTTAAATACCTCCTCAAATGGGAATATGGACAGAGAAGTAACGAAGGCAACTGCAGTGTGACCTTTACAGTCCAGAGCAGAAGGTAAGCCTGGAGTTCCTTTCATTTGTAAGTTTGGGATATTTTCATTACACTAGAGAGCCGATTATCCGCAATCATTAGGGCTGGTTCACTTCAGATAACAGTGCGGAGAATCGGACATGATGTAAAATACAAATTGACTTCAGTGATAACTTTCAGCAGCAGTTTTCCTATCACTGTACTCCCACGATTGCTGTGCCCTCTGCACAGGAAGCACTGCTGACGTTATTCCAAGAAGGAAGTGTCGACAGTTGGGCTTCCCGCACATAGTGATTTTAAACCAAGGCCAAAATTAAGACCAAGGCATTTGAATGGTTGCCCAGTATTGCACATTTCCAAGAGTCTTGGCTGAGTGCCTGATGGACTAATTTTAGTACATACCTACAAGATGCCTTTTTGTAGATGAGTTACATCCGTATAACAAAAGTAAAGATGGGCAGCTTTGATAGCTGAATCATTATAATATCATTGTTTGATTAGAGGGAAGGTAAATCACAACTGAACCTGACATGGTACTTGTTTGACATTCACACTTTATTTAAATATAATGTTTGCCATATTATTGTTTACTGATGGCAACAAAAGATTTATTTGAATATAATTTTGAGCATTTTTTCTCCTCCATCCCGCCCCCCCCCCCCCCACCCGCCACTCCCCTCCCCTCCCGCCTAAAATTCCAAACAACTGAAGAGATATCCGATTTTGTAACCATGTGTAGGTGTGCTAATTTTAAGAGGTTTCTTTTTTAATTCTTGTCAAAGAAGATAAAAAAGACGCTTTTTTTTTCTCCCCCCAACCAGTAAGACAGTGAACATGTGGAGCAATGTGCCGAATTGTGAAAACATCTGCCTCGCAGAATGTGACTGGACTCCCCTGAACATTTACTTCTTTGTAACTTACTTCCTGCGAGTTCAAGCGCACCAAGGGAATCAGACATCACCCTGGTTGAACACCAAAGCTTTTGCTACATACAAACACAGTGAGATCTGTTTTTTCTCCTTGACAATTGAAACAATGCAGCAAATATTAATACAACAACAACAAATTACATTTGTAAAACGCCTCATGTTGGGAGGACATCCCAAGGCGCTGGACAGTCAGGAATTTGGACCCAACCTGGTGGTTGGGGTGGAGGGCAGGGAGGGTAGGGGGTAGGAGGGTGGTCAAAGGCACGGTTGAAGAGGAGGATCTTGAGATGTGTCTTGAAGAAGGCGAGGGAGGGGCGAAGAACTGTGGGATGGAGTCCCGGAGGGTGGAAGCAGACTGGCTGAAAGCCCGCCCGAGAATAGTTGGCGAACAAGTGGGGGCATCAAGCAGGCCAGAGCCCACTGAGCAGAGGGAGCAGACAGATTGTTAGGAGATTAGGAGGTGGCAGAAGTATTGGGGGAAGCAAGGCTGTGGAGGGCTTTGAAGGTGAGGACCAGAAACTTCAACTGTATCCTCTGTGTGATGGGAAGCCAGTAGAGTCGGGCGAGGATGGGGGTGATAGGGTCACGGAGGGCGACCCAAGACAATGGACAATCAGGGATTTGGACCCGAGCTGGGGAGGTGGGATCAGGAGGGGTGGAGGACAGGAGCATTTTAAATTACAACAACTATGTTTCTCTTGTGAAAATTGCGAACTATAAAAATGCAATAGAATTGGAAAATAAGGTAGAAATAACTTGAAAAGAGAAGCGAATTTCTCCCAGTGTCCTGGTCAATAATCCCCCAGATAAAAAATGGTCATTCACTTCATATTTGTGAGGCATTGCTACGCGCAAACTGGCTGCCACATTTACCTACAAAATAGCCATTACATTTCACAGTAAAATCCTGTGAAGTGCTCAGATTATGGGGTGATAAGGCTCTGTGCCAAATGCGAGAAATATTATAGTTATAAACACTGTTCTGTGATAATTCATTTGGTAACCTTTTTTATTTTTAATATTGTAGTTCAGATTGGTCCTCCTGGGGTCAAGTTGAAATCAAAACACAGTTCGCTTATTGTCAACATTACTGCTCCCCAAACCACAAATGAATCATTCTTCAGGTTCAACTGTAATGAATACAAAATATCATACTGGAAATTCATGCAGCAAGAAAACAAGAAATCGGTATGTTCTTTGAAGCAGAATTGGGGGCAGAGAGGCTGAAGGCCCGTCTACCAACAGTGGGGCGGGCAAGACAGGGGACATGAAGCAGGCCAGAGCCCGCTGAGTGGAGAGCACAGACAGGTTGATAGGAGGTTACGGAGGTAGGAAGGAGCAAGGCTGTGGAAGGCTTGAAGGTGAAGATCAGGATCTTGAACTGTATCCTCTGTGGGATAGGAAGCCAGTGGAGCCGGGCAAAGATGGGGGTGTCAGTGTCGCGGGAGAGGACACAGGCTGCAGAGTTCTGGATGATCTGCAGGAGGGAGGAGTTGGGGAACCCGATAAGCAAGGAGTTGGCGTAGTTGAGCCTGGATGTGATGAACGCATGGATAAGGGTCTCGGTGGCCTGCGATGTGAGACAGTGGCAGAGCCAGGTAGTGTTGTGGAGGTGGGGAAAGGCAGAGCGGGTCATGGCTCGGATGTGGGTCGAACAAGAGACGTGAGGTTTCATGTTGGCTCCGTGAGGTGCAGAGTGCATCTATGAAGGGTGATGCTGTCAGCATCCAAGGGGTGAAGGCGCTGACGGGAGCCAAGCAGGAGGGCCTTGTTGACATTCAACTGGAGGAGGTTAGCTATCATCCAGCACTTGATGTCTGTGAGGACAACAGTGGTTCTGGAGTCGAGGGTGGAGGCAGAGAGGAAGAGTTGGGTGTCATCCGCATCCGTACAAATAAAAGTTGTAACTAGTATTGTGTTCTGTGTTACGTCACTTTTCTCAAAGACAGGTCATGGTACGTTGATGGAATGCAATTTAAAATGAAAACAGAAAGCATTGGCAATGCCCAGCAGGTTCAAAATCAAGGCATTAACCTGTCTTTCTCTTTCAGATAATCAGTACTTCTTCACTGGTGTCAATCCCAAACCTCAAACTTTGGACTGTCTATTGCTTGGAAGTTCAGGGATTTTGCCCTCTACTTAACATCACTTACCATTCGAGTTCAGTGACATGTGAAAAAATCGTGGGTATGACACTTTTATTTTAAAGTACAAGGCAGTGAGAGATCAACATGGTCAATGTTAGCTTTTTGTTTTGCTTATTTGACAATTTTGTGCATCTGAGTTTCTGCTCTCCCCTGGCTGGTCTTGAACTGACAGTAGCAACAACAAATGTCAGAAGAACGTCAGGAAAGCGCTGGACAGTCAGGATTCCGCACCCGCGCTGGTGGTTGGAATCAGAAGGGTGGAGGACAGGGAGGGTAGGGGTAGGAGGGTGACCAAAGTTGTGGTCGAAGAGGAGGGTCTTGAAGGAGGCGAGGAAGGGGTCGAGTAGAGGGACTGAGGGATGAAGTTCCAGAGGGTGTGGACAGAGAGGCCCGCCCGCCAATGGTGATTTGGGTAAGGCAGGGAATGCGAAGCAGACTGGAGCCCCCTGAGTGGAGGGAGCGGACAGGTTGGTAGGGATAACCAGTCCAGCTGAAACGCTATAGGGCATAATAATAAGCCTTGCATTTGATATAGTGCCTTATCACATCTTCAAGAAGTGACAAGGCCCTCCGGGGCCTTGACCCTCCGACCTTTTATGACCTGCTCACCCAATATCAACCTGTTCGCTCCCTCCACTTAGCGGACTCTGGCCTGCTCCACGTCCCCCGTCCGGCCCACCCCACCATTCAGCCTCTCTGCCCCATCCTTTGCAACTCCATCCCACAGTCCCCTCGCCTTGTTTCCTTCCTTGCCTCCTTCAAAATCCGTCTCAAGGCCCTTCTTTGACTGCGCCTTCGGTCACCCTCCCTCCAACCCCCGCCCCCGATCCCAACCCCCTCTAGCTCAGGTACAAATCCCATCTGTCGAGCGCCTTGGGATGTCCTCCAGATGTGAAAGGCCTTATTCAAATGTAATTGAAAAAATATATAATAATAATAATAATAATAATCCTTGCATTTGATATAGCGCTTTTCACGTCGGAAGGACGTCCCAAAGCGCTTCACAGAACACACTGTAAAGTGAATTGACTGTATATTTGTGGGCGAACGCGGCAGCCAATTGTGCACAGCAGCGTCCCACAAACACTCGTGGATTGAGTTGAGCAAATTATTATTATTTTGCTTGTCCTTCCTGGGGTAATACACATATAAACTTATAAACATCAAGCCATACTACCTATTTTAGTAACAGTGACAGAACGTAGTCACTATAGGCAAGTGAAATATAAACTGATGGTATTTTACTTTTTCTCTAGGTCTCATTCCATTGTGGGTAACATTTATAACGTTCATAATTTCACTGGTTGTTGTTTTTGTTGTGGCAACTGGAACCTTCTTATGTGTATATTGGACGTATAGAGGCGTAAAACACATCTTCTTTCCATCTTACAATTTGCCGGAACATATTCAAGAGGTAAGTGCATCCTGACCTCCATTCAGCTTGTTTAGGTTTTTGTGCTTAAGATTGGAAATTGGAGTGTGGAAACGATATGTGATTCTGTGAAGAACAGACAATGAGCACAGGGTCCTGCAAACTACTGATGGCTTGTGTCTTGTGGTAATTTGAACAAGCTTTTTGATATTTACTATTATTTTTTTTATTTGGCATTGAGGTACAGATTAGCCATGATCTAATAGAATGGCAGAACAGGCTCAAAGGGCTGAATGGCCTACTCTTGTCCCTATATTAAGCTAAAGGTTTCAACTACTTGCCGGAATTTAGCAAACAACTTTTAGAATTTAGCACAGGGCATTTGCTGCCATGTACTGCCATCTGACAAATTATCAAAAAAAAGGGGTGGTTGAAAGCTTTGGTGCAATGACTGTCTGAGAGTGATTTGCTTTCTCCTGTCCAATCACGGTTGGGCACTTTAGTTCTCAAAGAAGCTGTGAAGATTTTGAATAGTCAAAGCAAGTTTCCCTGTCTGGTGTTTAGCCCAGTGAGACTCAATAAGTCTCTGATTTGGAGTTGTGTTCCCTAGTAGTTAAAGCACTCGCCTCGTAAGCTAGAGGTCCCGGGTTTGATTCCCGGGTGGGGTGAAACGTTAGGCAAGTTTCCTTACTCCACATGCGCCCTGTTCACCTCGCAGTAAGTAGGAACCCAGTTGTTAGTTGATTTCAGGTCTCTTAATAATTATTGGATTATTATTTTTATTGATACCTAGCCCTTAAAAGTGTATTTAAACTGAGGGTCAGGGGAGAGTGTGAATGGGAACCTCAGAACAGCTGACTTTATTGTGTAATTGAGTGACCTAAATTTGTTTTATATATCAAAGGGTCTATTCATAATAATATTAATAATTCTTGTATTTGATATAGCACCTTATCAAGTCTTCAAGACATCTCAAAGCACTTCAGAGGATATACTGTAAAGTGAATTGACTGATATTATGTGGGCGAAACATTGGATTGCTTTTCCGGGGGTAATAATTCCTTAAAATATTTTTGAAATAATATTTGTCACTTCAATCCACAACTGTTTGTGGGACATTGTTGTGCACAATTGGCTGCTGCGCTTCACCCACAAAATATACAGTCAATTCACTTTACAGTATATTCTATGGAGACAAATATATATATTTTTTCAAAATTACATTTGAATAGCCCCTTTCACATTGTGGAGTCCTGTAGTATATTGGTTAGAGCACTTGCCTCGTAAGCGAGAGGATCCGAGCTCGATTCCCGGACAGGGCGAAACATTAGGCAAGTTTCCTTACTCCACATGCCTGTTTACCTACAGTAAGCAGGAACGGTTGTTAGTCGATTGCCGGATCACTTTTCCGGGTGTATCCCTTCAAAATAAATAGATAGTAAATTGGTCAATCAATCCACGACTCTTTGTGGGATACTGCTGTTCATAATAGGATGGCATGTTTCATCCAGAAAATAGTCAATTCGCTTTACAGTATATTCTGTGAAGCGCTTTGAGCCATCTCGGAGATGTGATCAGGCGTTGTATAAAATGCAAGGATTATTATTATTGGATTAATTCATTGGATAATCCTGCATAATGATAAATATACATGCTTTTAGCGGTACAGAAAATGATTTAATGACACTCTCCCCTTTCCAGTATTTCAGTGAACTTGCCCAGAACGTCCCTATTCTTGTTCCGGGATCAGAGGAAGGTGCGGAGGAATGCTGTGACTACTTCAAAGTTGTTCTTGCAACTGAAAGCTTGGGTTCCTATTCGGGCTTTTCAGTCCTAAACATCGACGACTCAGGGACGCTCAGCAGAGATACCACCGCAGATTCTGGATGCTTTTTTAATGAGGGGGAAAGCTGTAGAAGTACATCCACAAGAGCTTCTGAAGGAAAGACTTAAAACCTTATTTGGAACCAGATCCAAATATTGTGCTTGTGAATACTATTTTTAGATAGTGATGAAGCTTCAGAGTGTCTGGTGATCAAGTTGATTGGTCCTACATGTTGCTATTATTATAATAATAATAGTAATCCAATTGCAATCAATTGCATTTGATATACCAGCTTTGTTGAGATGTCTCAAAGCGCTTTGAGACATATAGCACCTTATCATCACTTTGATACGTCTCAAAACTAGGATAAAGCGCTCTATCAAATGAAAGGATTATTATTATTATTTTAGTGGTGCTCAAGTAGTCCAGATCATATTTTTCAGAAAATTTATGCATAGTTCAGCTTCTTGCAACCAAAGTATTGTAGTTACTTTTCCCATGTTTCAACCAGATTCAGTATTAATGTAATTTTGATTGGATTTTGTTCACAATGAAGTGCCTTAAAAACATAAGAATTTGCTGACGAAAAAAGACCTCCTTCCACCATCCTGGCAGCCACATGACATGTCGTGTCCCAAACTATATATATATATATATACACATACTGTATCCCGAGATGTTATTTCCTAACAGAAATCTATCTAATTGGTTCTTGAGAGAATCAACACTTTTTGCTTCCACCATCTCTCTCTCTCTCTCTCTCTCTCTCCCTAGGGAGCCTGTTCCATATGTTTACTACTCGCTCACCGAAGTAGTGTTTCCGCAGATTTGTTCTTAATTTACCCCCCTTGAATCGCAGGCCGTGTCCTCCGGTTCTACTGTTCAGTACAAGATAAAACAGCTTCTCCTGGTCTTATCTATATTATCTAGGCCCTTTAGAATCTTATCTGTAATTTTTATATTGTGGTGACCAGAAGTGCGCACACTATTCCAAGTGCGGTCGCCCCGAGGAAACCTTAATTTGGTGTTATTGGTAGGAGATGCCCATTCACAGGTTATGTCCTGATCTCAGCTCTTATGGCTGAGGGGAAATTATACATGAGCCATCTCGTCGCCAAGCTCCTGAGGTGAATGAAGCTTGTGAGTGCCGTTTCCATGCTCCTGCCAGAAGGTGAGACGTTTGAACATCACAAGGACTGAGGTTGAAGTTCTTTATACCCAAACAGCCCACATACTTGGAAAGCTGCCAGGGTCCATTGGAATCATGATCTCTAAACAAACCGCCACATTCAGAATAGTGACTTGGGGATTTGGCTTTATGGTGGGATCTTGCTGGCTATTAATGTAATTTTGCCTTACTTGCGTATACATTTTTAAAAAAATGTTTTGGTCAGCCGGATGTCTGACACATGCGGAAACGCATCACCATGCTGAAGACAATCCGAACAAAGCTGGGAATTGCTGATAATAACCTTATTATCAGGCGTGTGGAATAAGGAAACTTGCCCAAAGTTTCGCCCTGCTGGGAAACAAACCCAGATCTCTCGCGAGGCGAGATGAGTGCTCTAACCACTGAGCTACAGGACTCCACGAAAGAACATTGAATTCATTTTTAATCAGTTTAGCAATTATCCTCATCTTCGTGGAGCTTCTCAAGGATCGGGAAGATCTCGTGTTAAAAACAGAAACAGGATGCCACACTGAAGAGGCGTTTTAGTTTCTGTTATAATAATCCTTGTGTTTGATGTAACGCCTGATCACGTCTTCGAGACGTCCCAAAGCGCTTCACAGAATATATTGTAAAGTGAATTAACTGTATCTTTTGGAGCGAAACCCTGCAGCAAATTGCACACAGCAGCGTCCCACAAACAGCCGTGGATTGAAGTGACCAATTTATTATTATAAATAAACTGTTAGATTGAAATGTAAAACTAGTAAATGCAGGATTCAGTGCAGTACATTGAGGATGCCATTCCCCAGAGCGGCGGCAACTTAATTTACAACATTTACTATAATCCTTTATTTGCTCATATTTGTTCAGTTCTCTTGTGCACCCTAAGACCTTGTTTATTTCTTTCCTCTTGACTGCTGCAAACGGGTATTTCTTTAAGATGATGATGATAATTCTTGCATGATGTGGTCGAGGATGTCTCAAAGCTCTTCACAGGAAATGCTGTAGGTTATGCTTTTTAATGTGTGTTTTGTGGGTGAAACGCGACAGCCAGTTTGCGCACAACAATATCCCACAAACAGTCATGAAGTGAACGACCAATATTTAAGATGTCACTCTCTTGTTTTCCTGTAGTCAACCAGTTAGCTCACATTCTTGCATCCTGTTGCCCATGCCTTAATCCCATGACTGCATTTATCTGGATCGAAAGGCATCCCTATCTCTCCAGATCCTCCTGTACATAATCCATTTGTCTTTTTGGTCACCAATGCAATATCTTGTAGAACTACCCTTTTCCTTCCTCCCTTTCCAGCAAATCCAGAGGCCTCCTTTCACACCCACACAGCCCAATTCATAAACAGATTTAGACTGCTGGTGGCAAAAGGATTTTTTTTACGATTTTCATTCAATTTATAATTAAATTGAGAGATGATTCAGATGATTCCTGTTTTTAGGAATATAATAATATCTAGTGGGATAAAGGGAACTGTTAACGGAGCACAGACGGTCACATAAGTGATTCAGATTTCCACTTCTTTGCTACCATCCTTCATATAAAGTGGAGATCAGTTGCAGAATGTCCATTACGCCGATTCCATAGACCAATAGAAATCTACAGAATAGGCAGCACTGCTCCACGTCCCCCGCCCACCCCACCCCACCCCACCCCACCATCAGCAGCCGGGCCTTCAGCCTCTGCCCCCACCCTCTGGAACTCCATCCCACATTCCCTTTGCCTCGCTCCCTCCTTTGTCTCCTTCAAGACCCGTCTCAAGACCCTCCTCTTCCACTGCGCCTTTGGCCATCCCCCTACCCCCACCCACCCACCCTCTCTGATCGCAACCCTCGGGTCCTAATCCCTGACTGTTCTGCACTTTAGGACGTCCTCCCGACGTGACAGGCGCTTTACAAATGTAACTTTGTATTGGATCCATTATTAGTACCAGTATTTGTCCCTCCAAATCTCACATATTCCTATCTAATTTTTTCAAATGCTCTATTCTACTTACCCAACAGCCACTCGGGAAGTATTTTTTTCCAAATCATTTTTTATACATTGCAACAATACCTTGATGTTGATTTTTTTGTGTGTAACAGGAACAAAAAGTTGCTGTATAATGCTGTATTTGTTACTGAATATTAAACTAAAAAATCTCTGTTGTATTAAGCATTGTTTCATTCAAATAGCGTTCACCCAGTGATAGCTCAAACCCATCCTTATCGTATGTCGAATGATTACCTCAGGGAGGTAATCGGGGTCTTCTTGGAGCTGAACTGGCTCCAAGGCGTTGTGTTTGGCAACGGAATCAAGCCAGCCCCCCGGCTCATCGGCAGGACATGGAAGGGCAGACCAGTCACTGGGGGCAGGGAATCCTCCCACTTGGCTCCTGTCAACCCTGTTAACCCTGCAGCCATGGCCCTAACGGCTGAGGTGGTCCTAGCTGGACAAGCAGCTTGGCCAGACAGCGATATAAATTGCAAACTATACGGTTTTAGCTGGTTAGACTCCAGCAGTTACCCTAACTTATTCTGGGGTCCCCCCCCAAGCCTGGACTCTTGCCAACCTGCACCTAATCCCTTCCAAAAAAATAAGAATAATTTGGTCACTCAATCCACAACTGTGGGTGGGACAGTACTGTGTGCAATTGGCTGCCGTATTTCACCCACAAAATATGCAGTTCGGGCGAGTGTTCCATTAGAGACATTAAATCGAGGTTCCGTTTCCTTGTTCAGGTGGATGTTAAAAATCCAACAATAATAAAAAGATAATAACCCTGGCATTTGATAAAGTGCCTTATCACGTCTTCGAGACGTCTCAAAACACTTCACAGAATATACTGTAAAGTGAACTGACTGCATATTTTGTGGGCGAAACATGGCAGCCAATTGTGCACAACAGTGTCCCACAAACAGGCGTGGATTGAATGACCAAATGACACTATCTGAAAAGAGAAGGTGCCCCTGGCCGACAATTCTGCAGGTAAAATGAATCATTCACTTCACGGCTGTTTGTGGGACATTGCTGTGTGCAAATAGGCTACTGCATTAACTGTTATCTCTGGTGCGATGCACGAGAAACACAGCGAGCAGTTCTTATAATATTTATGAACCGTAGCAAAATGAAGTCACTGCACTTTTCACCCACAAAATATGGAGTCAATTCGCTTTACAGTGTATTCTGTGAAGTGCTTTGTGACGTCTCGAAGACCTGATAAGGCGCTGTATCAAACACGTTAAGTATTATTAATACTTTTTTGGAATGATGCCTCCCTTCAGGGAGAGAGAGCATATTCCATTCCAGCAATCACGCTCTGGGATTTCCATGTGGAGGTGGGATGCGTGGAATTCTCAGTTCGGTTTTGAGATTCGTAAGCAACGGTGATGGCTTTCCCCACGTGCCAGACATCCGGCTGGGGGAGAAAGGCACCTTTGTAACATTCCCTCAAGACCAAACTGCCCCCTTGTGGATTATTTTGTTTCTGCATGAGAGCTTCACCGTTGACAAATAAATCATGGATTTTCGGAGTTGGTGTTAGAAGAATGTCTAGTTCCTCTGTGCTGGTGCTTCGCTGGATGGGACAATTGAATGAAAGCATCAATCTAATTTCCTACATGTCTTGTTTAAGAACGTTGTATGACTGAACTACACATGCAAAGGATGTTTTCAAACCCCATTTTATGATTCACTCCACACCAGACTGACTCCACTGTCTGCTGAATGCACAGTGGTAGAAACTATTACAACTTAATCATACTTACATTATATCACACCGACAACAACCACTTGCTCTTCACTCTGGACGGCGTCTCGATATAGCAAGAGTAATAATAATAATCACTGATATTCCTTGCATTTGATTTAGCACCTTAACCCATCATTGAGACGTCTCAAAGCGCTTCACATAATATATTGTAAAGAGGAATCAACTGTAGTTTGTGGGCAAAATGCGGCAGCCAATTGCTCACATCAGCATCCCACAAACCGTTGTGAATTGAGTGACCAAATTGTTTGTTTTAGAGGGTTTATTACCCCTGGAAAGTGAGCCACCGATCAACTAACAACTGGGTTCCTACTTATTGCTAAGTAAATAGAGGCATGGGTTC